GAGCTATGGGCATTAAAGTTGTGAGCGAGCCATTAGGTTGCTGCATAAATTAGTTTGCTTTGAGGCCATCCTTCCTGAGCTAAGACTAAAATCTGTGAGCTGGAGGCTAAAAAACTGTGAGCTAGCTCACACCAACTCAGCTTAGAGGGAACACTGGTCTCCAGCTGACCAGTTCCCCTGGAGAAAATGGCTGCTTTGGAAGGTGAACTATATGGCATTATACACTCCTGAGGTCCTTCACCTCTCCACCCCTGAAATCTCCAGGAATTCCCAACCAAGAGCTGCCAACCCTGGAGTGGTTGTAGTACATAAGGAGAAGAGATTGGATTGGATACCCCACCCTTCACTCGGAGTCTCAGAGCGGCTTACAAACTCCTTTCCCTTCCCCTCCCCACAACAGACACCCTGTGACGTAGGTGGGGCTGAGAGAGCGCTGACAGAAACTGCTCTTTTTCAATAACAGCTGTGCCAGAACTGTGGCTTGCTTTAGGTCATCCAGCAGGTACAAGTGGAGGAGTGTGGAATCAAACCCGGTTTTCCGAGATTAGAGTCTGCACACTTAACCACTACACCAAAGACCATAAGGGGAGGACTTGGCCACTGATGCGTGTGTGTGTGTGAGGGATACAGATTCTGTGTATATGGATATCTGCTTGTGTGGAAAGTGTGGTCATATGCCCTTGACATTGCTGGCACTGGTTCCGTCTATCCTTGTTCAAATCAAAACCTGGACATTTTTTTTGTTTTTGTTTTTTAAAATAATGGCTTATCATAATATTTTTCCGTTAAAAGCATTTGGCAGGGGGATAGATAGATGCAGTTTCCTGTCTACCTCCTCTGGACTAAAGGATGGTGAACTGATGGCCGAGGTTGCAGAGAGGGGACCCAGATATGGGGTTGTCTGTACTGACAGGACTTTGTAAGGGGTCTGACGTCCCTGCCTGACTGTAAAAAGCCATTTTCAGGCTGTGCAAACATTTGATCAATGAAACAGGTTTTTAGCAGACCCTGAAAGTAGAACAGAGCCTTTCTAGATCAGCCCACACAGGCAGACTAGAGGAACACTGTGTAACAACCGTTGGGTGTACCATAGTCGGTGCCAGTCAAACATGCGGTGCCAGAATAACTCACGTGAATAAGCTCCGTGCGGCACATGGCCGCAGTGAAAGCCAAAAATGATAGCTTTAGGTGTTCCGAGCAAATTCTTAAGACTTAAGTGGGCTCGTGTTTTTCAAGTGCCTTAATTCTTTGACTCTAGTTACAAACGTTTTTGGACAAATCAGGTGGGCAAGTAAAAGTTGAAAGGGCAGCTTATCAGAGAGAGAGAGAGATATCCTAGAAACTGGCATGAGGAAGGTGAGGCTAGTCTAGCTAAATGTCCGTCACATTGGTCGGGGCAGGCTGTCTGAGGTAATCTCCGTGTCGAGACAGAGCCAAGGCCCAGTTGCTTATCGTGGCATGAGGAAGGTGAGGCTAGTCTAGCTAAATGTCCGTCACATTGGTCGGGGCAGGCTGTCTGAGGTAATCTCCATGTCAAGACAGAGCCAAGGCCCAGATGCTTATCGTGGCATGAGGAAGGTGAGGCTAGTCTAACTAAATGTCCGTCACGTTGGTCGGGGCAGGCTGTCAGAGGTAATCTCCGTGTCGAGACAGAGCCAAGGCCCAGTTGCTTATCGTGGCATGAGGAAGGTGAGGCTAGTCTAGCTAAATGTCCATCACATTGGTTGGGGCAGGCTGTCCGAGGTAATCTCCGTTTTGAGGCAGAGCCAAGGCCCAGTTGCTTATCGTCGCCTCCTCCTGGGCCCTTTCTCCTCTCAGTCTGCACCCGGTTTCAGTCCTCTTTCTGTCTTCCCATCCATCATTAAGGCTTGGGGTTTTTAACTGGGTGGGGAAGTTTGTGGAGGTTTGGAGATGGAGCTGCCTGGGAAGGGGAAGGACCTCAGTGGGAGAAAACGCCACAGAATCTATCCTCCAAAGCAGCCATTTTCTCCCGAGAGAGCAATTGTCATTCTGGGAGACCTCCGGGCTTCATTGATGGTTGGCAAGTTGGTAACCCAGTGGAGACCAGGGTCTCGGGTTGTCTTTAACAAACTTGGGCTGGCCTGGTGGTCTCCAAGCGGCCTCAGAGGAGGAAGTGAGAAATGAACGCATGAAGCTGCCGTATACTTCATCGGACCCTTGGGGTCCCTCAAAGTCAGTATTATCTCCACAGACTGGTGGTGCCTCTCCAGGGTGTCAGGCAGAGGTCCTTCCCCTCACCTACTGCCGCCTTTTTAAAATGCTTTCTTTAGACTCTGAAGCGCTGAACTGGGACGGAGTTGTCGAAAGAACACTCCCCAGAGTGCATAGTAAAATTTGGATGTTTTAGGCAAAAGGAAAGGGGGTGCACTCGATGATATGGTTAGGGAGAGGCCTCAACTGGTTCCTTACCTCTGGCCCAGTCTTGGGACTAGGCCCGATACTCATCTCCCCGTTTAGAGTGTGGTAAAGTTGTGAATAGCCAAATATCACATGCTTTCTCCCCCCCCCCCCAGATACAAGGGACTCCACCACCATGATACAGCATCTAAGTGGAAAAATTAATGTCTTAAAATTTATAATTGTGCAAGAACAACCCCGGTGTGACAGTGCCAGGCCTTATAAATGTGTTTCCGTGTCGGGTACTGATCCTCTTCTGCCTAACAGAGGGTATTTTTAGCAACCCTGGCAGGCAATCTGGTAGCCCATGTTTGGCAGATGTACCACCTGGTGTTTTCGCAATATTCCCTCCCTCCCTGAGCACGTACCACTTAGACGCTCCAAAGTTACTTCTTGGAGAAACGGAGACTAGAACATAACTTCTGTTTGGTCTGAGAAGCAGCCAGCTTAGACAATTGGGCTAGCAGCCACGTTTGGTCTGATTGGAGACCAATGTCTAATGTCTTTTAACAATTTTTTAAAAAAACAAGGTGGATGTTGGGTGATAACGTAGAGTGTGAGTTGTAATCCTCCCCCCCAAAAATTCTAAATGCAAGTTTCATGCCGTTCGAGAAGTCACTTGGTGCCCACAGGCTCTATCCTCCTTCAGCAGTATGTCCTACCTTATAGGGATGTTGTAGTAACGACTGAGAGAAGGTGCATGAAGCTCTTTGAAGACCCCAGATGCAGTCAGTATGAAGTCTCTCAGGAGACCGGAGTGCTGCTCCTGCCTGAAATCTCTAGCCTAGCAGAGCTGATGCTTCCATCTTTGACTGCCAGCTCAAACAGGCAGGCTCAATGTTAGCCCCGGACAGGGAGGGCCACGTCCCACCCCTTCACGATGATACGCGAATGTAGCAGTCCCTGGACGTTCTACTGTGGCTAGCCGATCAGTTGGATTATTGGTTCCTTGGGCTGTCAGGAAACGTCCCTTTGCTCTCTAAGATCCTTCAAGGCAAGAAGGATCTACACAACTCGTGAAACCGCTGGGCAATACTAGTTAAGCCCCCCACTTAACCTAACCTGGTTGCTGAACTTGATGAGATTTGTGATGCTCTTCCTCTGCCTATTGGTGGTACAGCTTTTCCTCTGCTGACTGTCTACACAACTTCTTGGGGGGGTGGGGTGGGATTGTCACATCTTCGCTATGCAACCATTTTGAATAAAAATTGCAAAAGGAGTCTGTAACAATACAGCAACAATGATATTGCTATCTTCCAAAGATTACTGTTTGGGCACCCAAATGCTCTGTGTTCCCCTATAGTGCACTGTCGTTTAGGACTGAATTCATTGACTGTTGTGTGGACGTTGCTGTTAAAAATGGACGAAGCCCCCAAAGGCCTGCAACCAGAATGGATCGGTAGCATTCGGTTGCTAGTTCCGTTGTCGGAACCAGAGGTCCCCAAACCTGTCTGAGTCTTCAGGCATCTTTGGGATTCCGACACGGCATGGCGGGCGGAGCCGGAAAATGGCTGCCGTAACACAACGGCCACGAGAGGCAGAGCCAGCCAAAATACGGCTGTAGCAGTTTAGTGTCAGTCGCTCAGCAAAGATCCATGTGTTGTGGGGGCAACGGCTGCCGAAGCAATGTTTAAAAAAAATCTGCATAGTCAATCAGAAGCTTTGTTGGGCAGAGACGGGAAAAATCATGAAATGTAAAATTAAGAAGGAACCGGAAGTGTTTCTTCTGGGACTTAGAATGGAAGAAGTTAATATTGCAAAACAGACTTTAATGTGGTATATGAATACAACTGCTAGAATGACGTACGCTCAATGTTGGAAGCAAGAAAAAACTGATATTTGGGAGTGGTTTAAAAAGTTACTTTTTATGGTTGAAATGGACAAAATGACAAGAAAGCTTAAAAATTAAGAAGCAGAAAACTTTTTTTGCAGATTGGAAGGACTTCAGAGAAATACTTTCTATGGCCTCTTTCTAAAAACACGTGGGGGTGCCAGGAAATGTGTTGGCAGGCACCAGTGTGCCCACGGACACTACGTTGGAGGACCCCAGTCTAAACGGAGTGATATGGCTACTCTGCATTGTAGGCAAGGTGTGTAGGAGATCTGGGAAGAGTTGGTGGCTGTTTGAGATCTAGATAAGTATAGCATTGACTGTTGTGGGGTTTTTTTAAACGCTCTTTCCTGTTTGCATTTTGGCTTGGCGTAAGGTACATGCCTTTCTGCGTATGTATAATTTGTATTGCCGTGTTGTCAAGTGAGTAAATGCTTGCTCTGTCAATGTGGGGAATGGTGTGGGAGGAGCCATGTTGTTCATGGCCTGCGCCAAGGAGATCTTGGCCTACTGAGGCACTGCTAGTCTTGGGTACTGATGCAGAATAGATCTATAGACATTCGGGAGAATTGGCTGTGGAGATGGTTCAAACGTGTACTTTAAAGCAGCACCTTATGCACTGGTTGCAACAAAACCCCTGCCATGTTTTCATAAATGCAATAGGGGAAAGAGATCTCTGGCCAGGGCAAAGGTTATTGAAGCATGATGCGAAACATGAAACCTAACAGAGCGCTGTTTCTGTTCCCCGCAGATCTTCCGCTGCCGCCACCGCCCCCTCCTGGAGAAGACATGGTTCTCTCCGCCAGCAGTGCTTTCCCTCCTCCGCCTCCCCCATTTGTGGAGCCGTTCCCCCCAGCCCCGGAGGATGTCTTCCCGTCTCCTCCCCCTCCCGTGGTGGAGGAGGAGCCTGTGTCTCTGAGCGGGCTGCCCGCCCCCCAGGTGAGTCTCCACCCAAGATAGTCCAAGGGCAGGGTTGACTGGGACAGGCCTGGTTTCCCGCTACCTCCTTGTTCGGTGTCGCTTTGCCTGGGTTAGACATCTGTGCTGCCATCCTGTCCAGGTTGGGTCGTGATCCATACCATGAAGCAAGCACTGCGGCAGTCCTCAGAAGGGTGTGTGTGTCTGCGGGTGTTGGCTGACTTCAAGGAGCATCTGCCAGCCTCTTTGTTTACCAAGGGTTGTCCATGGTTTATGTGTGTGTACAGCTCTGTTTGCTGCTTTTTGTTGTTGTTGTTGTATATATTTTTATTTTAGAAAGCAAAGCACAGGATAGGGGAATACAAAAGGAAAGGAGGGATTATGAAACTACACACACACACACACACACACACACACACACAATACATCACAGAATATACAGAACAGAAAAAAACCAAGAGTCCAGTAGCACCTTGAAGACCAACAAAATATGTGGCAGGGGATGAGCTTTCATGAGTCACTGCATGCTTCTCATGAGCAGTGACTCATGAAAGCTCATCCCCGCCACATATTTGTTAGTCTTTAAGGTGGCTCAAGCGGTTAAGACGCTGAACTGCAGGCTGTGGAAGGTCGGTAGTTCGGCAGTTCGAGACCCGAGTGTGCCGCATGACGGAGTGAGCTCCCGTCTCTAGTTCCAGCTCCTGCCAACCTAGCAGTTCGAAAGCAAGAAATTGCAAGTAGATAAATAAGGTACCACTTCGGTGGGAAGGGAACAGCGTTCCGTGCGCCTTGGTGTTTAGTCATGCCGGCCACATGACCACGGAAATGTCTTCGGACAGCGCTGGCTCTTCGGCTTTGAAATGGAGATGAGCACCGCAACCCTTTAGCCAGACTCGACTGGCTTTCGAGCAAGGGAACCTTTACCTTTACCTAAGGTGCTCCTGGACTCTTGCTCTTTTCTACTGCTACAGACAGACTAACCCGGCTACCCATGTTGACCTAGAACAGAAGAAGTAAATATTTCCCCCTTCCATCCCCTTCATTGCAGTTTTTAAGGCATCTCCTATATAATGGCCCTTCAAACATTTTGCATTTCTCACGTCAATGACGTCATAACTAATCTGTTTGGCAACTCTGTTATTAATTTCATCGTTATTGCATATCTGCATCTCTCTTTGTTTTTTTAAAGTTAAAACTCCACGCCAAGGTCACCCACATTTCACGCTAAAAGAACTAGAGTTCTGTGATCTATAAAATAAGCAAAGCCTAGCTGCCTACTGGGTATCATTTTGCTTCAGTGGTTTGTGGGGAGGGGGCGTGTATCATAAAGGCCCACCCTCTGATGAATTGCAACTATATTTAGCCAGAGTGATGCAGCAGTGTCTTGCTAGGATCTGGGAGTCCCAGGTGTGATTTCCCCTCTCTGCCATGGAAGCTTGCTGGGTGACCTTGGGCCAGTCACACGCTCTCTGCCTAACCTCCCTCACAGGGTTGTCACAAGGGGAAAAGCAGAGGAGAGATGCCGTCAGCACCTTTGGTTCCCCATTAGGTGGAATAAATAGCTGCTTCTGCAGTCTCTGCCGGACTTGCTTACAGCTGCCCCTCCTGACTTATAAGAGTTAGAGGCAGCAGTGTTCCACTGGAAGCCGAGATGCTTAAGGCAGCGGTAGAGTGTGACGCTTCCTTCCTGCTTGTTGCCTGACCGGCCCTTTGTGGTCTCTTGAATTTGCTCTTGTCTTGTGCGACGCTCGGTTGCCCCGCTACCAAGCCTCTCTGGTGTCAGCTGCCACCTTTTGTAGCCTCACCCAGGCTCGGAATGACCTCTAACATCTCGACTTCCTTTCTCCTCTGCGATGGAAGGGGCAGGCCCGTGGCAAGATGAGCAGCATTGATTTGGAGATTGACTCTTTGTCCTCAATGCTGGATGACATGGAGAAGAACGATCCCTTCAAACCCCGGGTGAGCTGAGATAACAGGGAGGGCGGCCCCTTCCGAGGCCTGGCTCCTCCGTGCAAGCGCGCACCTCCCCTGCACATAGGGAAAGGAATCTCCTCTTGGGGGAGAGGCCGGGCTAGAACCTGCTTCCTTGACATCTTAGATACCTGTGTGCAGAGAACCTTTGCAATATGGAGCAGCATTCGGTGACGCGACTCTCCTCTTGCAGTGGTGTGCAGTTTTGACAGGAGAACTGAGTTACAAGTCTTGGGGGGGTCTGAGAGAAGAGAGAACGGGGTCAGCATTGGGGCTGTTGGATTGAACCTCTGGCCTGAAGCCTGGTTTTCTTAAGAGAGCCCATACAGAGGGTCCAACTGCCCTGGGCTGCGCTTCCTCACCGTTTGGTAGCCAGGACTCCTGCATTGGCTTGCCCAGGCGGTAGGGAGGATCTTATTACATGCCAGGAGCGTTGGTAAAAGCAGACATCGGTAACCAGCCCACGTTCTTGTCGCTCATCTCCTTCCCCCTCTCCCGTTCTTCCTTTCCACGCCAAGGGAAAGTTGGATCAGTGCATTCTGGAACGGGAGGAATCGTTTGTTGCCGTTTCCCTTTTCCGGTATCTGATGACCCGTGTCTTTAATCCTGCAGGTGACTCTTGGATCTGCGGCTGCCGCCGGTGTCGCCGCCGAACCGAAAAGTGTCTCAGAAAACGTGGCTCCGCCGAAAGATGTTCCCGCTCCCGTTCCTTTCCCTTCCAGCGCTGTCTTGAGTCCCAGTGGGAACCACCTGCCCCGGCCACAGGGAGAAGCCTCTCCGCCTCCTCCGCCCTGGGTGACTTCCAAGCAGCGGAAAGACTCGCCACCCGCACAGCTCCCCACGCCGCCACCGGCCGCTCCTCCTCCTCCGCCAGCTCCGTCTGCTCCCAAGTACACGCTGCCCCCTGTCGCGGCTGCCCCGAAATTTGTTTCTAAGCCCGCTCCTTCCAGTTTCCCGAGGCCTGCTGCTCCGGCCACTTCTCAGTCTCGCTCGCCGGCCCTTTCGGGTCCCAGCCCAGCGCCGAAGCCACAGCCGCCCACTTTCACTTATGTACAACAGCGGGAAAGACCCGTGGTGCAGGAAAAGCCACGCCCTACTGTGCAGCCGCCTGCCCTGCGAGATACGGTGAGGAGACAGCATTTTTTGTGTGGGGGGTGAGCTTAGTGTGCTAAAATAGAGCTCGCTTGCCTCCTGACAGATGGCACTTTTGTCTAAGCGACTGTAATAGAATCATAGAATTATAGAGTTGGGAGGGGCCTCCGGGGTCATCTAGTCCAGCCCCCTGCACAATGCAGGAAATTCACAAATACCTCCCCCTCCATACCCCCGGTGACCCCTGCTCCACACCCAGAAGGTGGCAAAAATAACAACAACAACAAAACTCCAGGATCTTCAGCCAAACTGGCCTGGAGAAAATTGCTTCCTGGCCCCAAAGTGACGATCGGCATTTCCCTGGGTGTGTAAGAAAGGGCCACGAGACCTAATCACTGATGCAAACCTTCCACCCCTCCCTCTCGTGATCTGCCTAAGTTCACAGAATCAGCATTGCTGTCAGATGGCCATCTAGCCTATTATTCCTGTATAGTGGAATATATATATTTGCATGAATATCAAATTTCCATGCATCCTGCCCCAAAGGATCACAATGCATTCATTGTCCCAAGGGTGCCAAGGTTTATATTTCATGAAAACAGCCACTTCTTAGTGGGGGGGGGGGAGATGGAGAGCAGAAAGGAGCAGACTATGTTGAGCTTGTGGGCACTTCGGGAGTTCTGAGAGCAGCTAGCGGGCGCCACCAGAGAATGGCTGCCATGCGAACCAAGTTCCCTCACAAGATGCTGGGAGGGTCCAAACCAAGCATCCTCCTCCTTGGTGGCGTCCGTCACAGGAGGAAACATGGCTTGGGACCTGTCATGCTTTGCGGTTGAGCTTGAGCCCCTACGGGTTCTCCATGAAGACCTGAAGCTGCCTTATACTGAATCAGACCATTGGCCCGTCAAGGTCAGTGTTGTCTGCTCCGCCTGGCAGCAGCTTAGATAGGGGTCTTCCACCCCACATACTACCGGATTCTTTTTATCTGGAGTCACTGGGGGTTGAGCCTCCAAGCCTCGGCCCCCTCCCAGCACCTTATGATTGAGCCGAGCCCCACCCCACCCCCGTGGGTACACCCTGCAAGACAGTATCTTCTGGCTTCTTCATACTTCAGTGAAATGGCGAAAAGTCAGGTTTTGTCTTTCTTTTGAGCGCTTCGGGGAAGCATCAAGTGAGTGCCAAGAAACATCTTGGGCAGCATCATCACCTACAAGTACCGTGTTGGAATAAGGGGTTGGGAGCAGCGTTCCCTCTAAGCTGTGCACCTGAGCGGCCGCTCATTAACACCGGAAGGCCCCGCTCAGCAGCAGTCTGGAGTCTCGCACCGCCCATTGCAGCAGTTATATTCTGCTCAGCACGTGAACTGCTCCGCTCAGCGGGGGAGGAAATTAGAGGGAATATTGGTTGGGAGAAGGGAGCATTGTAAAGGACCCCCAGTGCCTGATTTGCTCTTGACTGTGGGCTGGTTCACATATGATAAGTCCTTGTGGCTGTGAGAACTCTCTATCGGACATACGTCTGGATTCCATGGTCACACAGGCCTGATTCAGATTGGGGCCATGGGGTGAAGGGGCTCAAACCTTGCCATCCTCACACACAAACCATTTTGTGACCTTAATTGGCCCCGAGGAGCTCCTCTCTGCTTCGGGGGGGGGGGGGGGCTTCATCCGCTGATTCCCCACTGGTGGACCTCCTGATGGCACCTGGTATTTCTGGCCACTGTGTGATACAGAGTGTTGGACTGGATGGGCCTTTGGCCTGATCCAACATTGGCGTCTCTTATGTTCTTATGAGGAAAGGTTGAGCCTCCTTCAGTCCTGATCCAGACTGGGCCTGCGTGCAGGTGAGAATTAAGTTCGCAGCAGGGAGCTCCCAGTACATGTCTGATAGAAACATGGGGGTGTTTTTTTTTGGGGGGGGGCATGAGGACGTTATAAAGTGTGAAGCAGCTTTAAGCGAAAAATTTGGGCCCAGGTCTCGAATATACAGCTGCGGGACTGTGTTGCTTTCTCCCCTCCTTAGCTTTTAGAAATCCTTTGGGCTAAGAGGTGCATAGCTGTGCGCTCTTTCAAAATAACTCCTGCAATTTAGAATACAAGACCTGCCCCTGTAAGCGGAAACATCCCCCCCCCAAAAAAAGATCTGTTCTAGCTGAATACAAGCCCTGTGTGCACTGAACAGTGTAATGCCCTAATCGTCTTCTGATGTGGAATTGTGGCGCTCTGCGCAGCTGACACGAGAGGTTTAAAATTAATTCAGCTTTCTGGCTTTGTGTGCCAAGGGCTGCCGGAACAGCGGCCGGGATATTCTGTCTGGCCTTTAAATTTGTCGGTGTGACTGGCAAAAAAGTGGTTTAGGATGTAGCCCTCCGTTGCCGAAGTTTCCCTGATTCTGGTGCCCCAGGACTGGGCGGCCTCTCGATAGGAGCCGTTTCCGAAGTCCGCAAAGTTGCAGTAGTGAAATCCTGACATCTGACAGTTGGTGGTTTGTTAGAACTTGTTGAGTCCTGAGACACCGGAAACCGGAGACTTGCCAAGGGCAGCGGAACAGAGCTAGATTTGGGTCCAGCAGCACCTTAGAGAGCAGTGAGGTTTTCGGGGCAGGAGAGCTTAAGAGTCAAAGCTCCTTTGGTCAGATATGCAAGAGGGCTGCAGAATGTAGACTTCATATCCTTTGGCCTTACTGTCCAGGAAAATACATGGACCCTTTCCCCTCTGTAGAACAAATTTGGAGTCCGGTGGCACCTTTAAGACCAACAAAGGTTTATTCAAGGCATGAGCTTTCGCATGCATGCACACTTTTTCAAATACATTGGAAAGGAAGCTAGAGTTCAAACTTATAGACGGGGGCTGAGCAGCAGATTAACGTTCAGCCCTGTGGAATGGAACTCCCCATCAACCTGACAAAAGTGTGCGTGCCCATGAAAGCTCGTACCTTGAATAAACCTTGGTTGGTCTTAAAGGTGTCCCGGACTTGAACTTTGTTCTGCTGCTTCAGACCAACACGGCTGACCTCCTGGAACAACCTCCCCCCTCTCTCTGTCTCTGTCTCTCTCTCTGTCTCTGTCTCTCTCTCTGTGTCTCTCTCTCTGTGTCTCTCTCTGTGTCTCTCTCTGTCTCGCTGTCTCTGTCTCGCTGTCTCTGTCTCTCTGTCTCTCTCTCTCGGTCTCTCTGTCTCTGTCTGTCTGTCTGTCTGTCTCTCTCTCTCTCTCTCTCTCTCTCTCTGTCTCTGTGTTTTTAAGTTCCTTTTTTAAAAAAGTTTCTTACACTTGTGCAGTACAGTAGAGGGTCCATTTAGCTTCTCTCCTGTTTCCAACAGCGGCTGGCCAAATGCCTCTAGGAGGTTTCTACATTTATTTTATTTTATTAAACTGATGGATCACCCACCCTGCAAGCAGGCTCTGGGCGATGTACAACATTATAAAGATTGAAGTAATATATAATCAAAATTTCTGACAACAAATAAAAAAACCCCAATCTAGATGGCAAGAAAGTAGTCCTCCTTTGTTGGCGGCACCGCTATCCCGCACGGCAGGGCAGCGCATGGTGGGCTGGGGGCCATAGAAGAAAAAAAGAGAGGGTGCCGGTCTCAGCCTCCTGTTTCTGCCCTCAACCAAAAGCCTGGCGGAACGTCTCTGCCTTACGGGCCCTGTGGAGTTGCATCAGATCCCGCAGGGGCCCTGATGTCATTTGGTAGAGAGTCCCGCCAGGACCGAGAAGGTCGTGGCCAATGGTCCCTCTAAGCTGTGGAGTCCTGTGAGCTAAAATTCTACTTTGTGAGCACCTGGCATTAAAGTTGTGAGCCAGCGATTTGGCTGCTGCATACATTAGTTTGCTCTGGAGCCCTCCGTCCTGAGCGAAGACTAAAATGTGTGAGCTGGAGGCTAAAGAACTGTGAGCTGGCTCAGACTAACCCAGCTTAGAGGGAACACCGGGTCCTGGCCCTAGTCGAGGACAGCCAGACCTCCCTAGGGCCGGTGGGGGTCACCAGCAAGTGGTTATCAGCAGATCTCAGCATTCTTCTGGGGACATACTGGAGGAACGTGAGGAACAAAGGCCTTGAGTCTCCTTATGTTCATCACTTTGCCTCTGAGCATTGAGGTTCCCTGGGGACCTCGGAATTGTCCCTGTGGCTCCCAGATGAAATCAGACCATAATTCTGGGGAAGGCAGAGGCTGATGGCAGCTTTCCACTAGCTGTTTTAAAGCCTAATCCTCCATCCTATTAGGCATGGTTGTGGCTGGTGGCAATGCTTTTTTTGTGGAAAAAGCCCAGCAGGAACTCATTAGCATAATAGGCCACACCCAACAGCAGAAACGTATTAGCATATTAGGCCACACCCCTGACAGCACAGCTCATTGGCATATTAGGCCACACCCCCGTGTTACCAGAAGTGTGCTCATCCAGCCATACCCACCTTTTGCTTCTTATTTTGTTTACCTTGATTGTTGCTAAAACCCAGGGCTTTTTTTGTAGCTGGAACTCCTTTGCATGTTAGGCCACACACGCCTAATGTAGCCAATCCTAATGAGTGTCTGGTGTTGGGTGTGGCCTGTTATGCTAATGAGTTCTTGCTGGGTGTGGCCAACTTGGGAGCCAGCCGGAACTCCGTTCCTGTGCGTTCCTGCCCCAAAATAGCCCTGGCTGGCGGCATCTCGCATGGCTCAGCGGTAAAGCGTCAGCTCTGCATGCCATTGGAGAGGCTCAGATGGCAGGCAGTGTGAAAGACCTCCAAGCCGAGACCCTGGGGAACTGCCTCCAGCCCAAGTAGCCAAGCGCTGTCTTTGCGAGACCCAAGAGCCTGACCCATGTGCTGCTAAATCCTCTTGGGCGCCTTGCTGCCTAGCTCTGTTCTTTTTCTCCTAAAAGTCTGGGTGAGATCAGGCCTGCTTGGACACCATCCCAGGCAGGTGTTTTTTAAAAAAAGCGTTTAAAGTGTGTGGGTTTACAGGCTTCTTAAAAAAGACGAAGCTAAATATTCTCTCTGGCACAGTGAAGGGGAGCGTGTTCTTTTATCTAGGAAATGTGTAAGCCATCCAGTGCTTCTGTAGACGAGGGAGTTTTCGTGCGTACTTCTTTTATCCCAAAGCGCTGGCTGAAACCCCCTCTCTCCGTGCAGCCAGCTAAAAGGTGGAAGAGGCTCTATGGTGGAAGAGCACATCTCCTTGGAAGAAGCTGAGACCTCTCCCTAGCTGTGGGATAAAAGGTCCAGAGGTGTGCGGACTTGAGAAGATGGGAAGGAGTTTCCTAGGGCAGCGATGGGTGGAGGAAGCGCTCAGCAGGGTTTATTTTAATTTAATTTTATTTGGCTTCTAACCCTAACCCTCCCCCAAAGGCAGGCTCGGGGCGGGTTACAACGTCATATACATAATATACTACCAGCCAATAAAGCATAACCAGTTTAAAATTCAGTAGCACAGTTTGCACTACACCAGTAGTCCACTAGGGGCCACGGTGGCTCAGAGCTTAAGACACTGAATCTGCAGACCGGAAGGTCGGTAGCTCGGCAGTTCGAGACCCGAGTGCCGCATGACGGAGTGAGCTCCCGTCTCTGGCCCCAGCTCCTGCCAACCTAGCAGTTCGAAAGCAAGAAATTGCAAGTAGATAAATAGGGATCACTTCAGTGGGAAGGTAACAGCGTTCCGTGGGCCTTGGCGTTTAGTCATGCCGGCCACATGACCACGGAAACGTCTTCGGACAGTGCAGGATCTTCAGCTTGGAAACGGAGATGAGTACTGCCCCCTGGGGTCAGATTCAGCTGGCTTTCAAGCAAGGAAAACCTTTACCTTTAGTGGTCCACTATTGATGGCGCCGATAATACATCTACTCCCGGGCTCCCTGTGTGAGTACAGGTACCATGTAACTAGTGTTGGGAGGGGGTGGACAGACAGGAGCAGTGCCAGATGGAACCAATGCTGGTGGAGCAAAACAGAGCAGGGGGAGTCCAATACAGTCTGGATTCCTGCCGCCCCTGGCGGAACATCTCCGTTTTACAGGCCCTGCAGAACTGCGTTAAGGTTAGAGAGACTAGTCCAAAATTCAGTGATCTCGAGTTCACATGCCTTGGAATTTGTGGCTCAGGAGGTGGGGAGCACAAGCTGGAATCGTTCTGAACAAGTCCGTGTGACTCTCGGATCTGTGTGTGTTTGTTTTTGTCCAGCGCAACCCGGTCGCCTTTGCCAGCGAGGGGTCAGATCCTCCCAGGGGAAACTCCGCTCTGACCATGAAGGAGGTAGAAGAGCTGGAGATGTTGACTCAGAAGCTGATGAAGGACATGGACCGCCCTCCTCTTGCCGAGGCTTCCACTGCTGGTAGGTGTACACAAGGGCAGAGGGAAGGGAGAAGAAGATCATTCAACTTCTGTCCGGAGAGTTTTCAGTTCCTTTCTTTCAACACCTGCCTTGCTCCAGCTTTAGCTGTAGATCGAGACTGCATCCACTCGCCGCTGGATGTTGAGCTCTCACTGTGTAATAGCAGTCATTTGCCTCCTGCATGGTCTTGCCCACACTGGAAAATCCCGTTGCCAAATTACTGCTATCAGCGTTATCCAACCATGCGTGGATGCAGCCTGACACACAGACCTTTAGCAGGTGTTGCTTTTTCCCTGTAACTTCGTGTCCGTGCCAAGAAAAGCTGCCTTTATTATGTGTAGGCCCTTGCGAGACTGAAAGAGCAGGGGAAAAGACTTAAGAGGGGCAGCTAGTTCTCGTCCATCGGCAGCTCTGTGTTTTAAAACTTTCTTCCTCCTCCTCCTCCCTTCCCATCGCAGCAGAGCTGTGCGGCCTTTGCAACAAGGCCCTGTCGCGGACGCAGCCAGCTGTCCGTGCCCTGGACAAGCTGTTCCACGTGGAGTGCTTCACCTGCTTCAAGTGTGAAAGGCAGCTGCAGGGGCAGCAGTTCTATAACGTGGATGAGAAGCCCTTCTGCGAGGATTGCTATGCTGTAAGTGTGAGTTGGGGAGGGGTGTTTTGCTAGCAGTCAGTGTGGTGTAGTGAGTTCAGGTGCTGGACCAGGATCGGAGAGACTCCGTTTCAAATCCACACTCTCCCATGAAAGCTGAGTGACCTTGGGCCAGTCACACACTCTTTGGAGCCTTGTCTGCCCCTTATAAATAATAATAATTATCCTATGGCAGTGTGTGTCGTATTGCCAGGAGAGCCTAAAATTGTTTGGCAGTCAGAGGTTCTAGCTGTTTTAGCAATATGCACCACTAGGTGGTGAGCTAGACTTGTTTTTTTAAGGCAAGAATTGTTTCAGAGGTGGTGGTTGCAAGGATTAAATGGGGAAGGGAGAACTATTCGGGGACGGGAGAATCTAAGCTTCTTGGAGGAATGGCAGGAAAGAAATGTACTCGGTAGAACCTGTTAGGATGGGGTAGCGGCTCAGTAGTTGCATGTCCGTTAAGGCTTGGGAAGTGCCTCTAATGCAGGGGTGGCCAAACTTGCTTAATGCAAGAGCCACATAGAATAACTGTCAGATGTTTGAGAGCCGTTAAGACATGAACAGATATCGCATACAAGTTTTTATTGAAAAATATGCAAATTTACTTTTTTATCAACATTAACTGCTAAAAATAAAAACAAAAGGAGTAAAAGCAGGTATTGATAATGATATTTATTTGTCCAGTGATATTGATTTGTCTAAGAGAGGTGGAAAGAAAGAATGAGAGAGAGAGAGAGGCAAAGAAAGCAAATAGAAGGGGGGAGGGAGGAAGAGAGAGAATGGAAGGGAGAAAGAAAAAGAAAGAAAGGTGGAAAGAAAGCAAATAGCTGGGTGAGGAAGGAAGGGGAAGAGAGAGAAATAGAAACAAAGAAAGCAAAATAGATGGGGGAGGAAGGATGGGAAGAAAGAGAGAAAGAAAGAGAAAGAAAGAAAATAGATGGGGAGAGGGATAGGTGGAAAGAAAGCAATTTTAAATGCGTCCTTCAACCCCCTGCCCCTACACTGGCTGGCTTGGCTTGCCTTGGCTTGCCTTGGAGAAGGGATTTAAAGAGAAAAATGCCTTCTCCAAGTTGGCCGGCAGGGGGAATGCTTTGAGAATGCATTTAAAGTTTAAGTTGCTTGCTTCCTTTGCTCTCCCCCCCTCCACCTCAAGCCTACCCAGGGAGGGGAACACTGGCTGGGAAAGGTAAACCCGATTGGGGAGGCACGCCTCCCCTTCGCTTCCCCAGCCGCCCTGCCAGGAGCCACACAATGTGTGTGAAAGAGCCGCATGCGGCTCCCGAGCCACAGTTTGGCTACCCCCTGCCCTAATGCTTCATGTATTTCAGTGGTTCAGAACTGTTTCATGTTGTTGCTGTGGTCCTTACAGCAGATCCGTAGGGAAGGCCAATATTCTCTCCACGTTCAAGACTTGGCGATCAGGGTGAGGGAGGCAAAATATGGGTGCCACCCAGGGGAATGTTTTCCAGCATTTCTAGACCCGGGACTTTCCCTGAACGTCTAGACTCCAGCAGGGGATTTGCTGAGCTGGAAGCAGGTGACCGGAAGTCGTGTCCCACCAGAGTCTTGTGGCAGAAAGAGCCAGAGTTCTGGTCGTACTGGTGCTGTGACCAGGACTGTGGGCTGAAGATGAAAATACGGGAGGGATACTATAATGTGGAGCAAGTTATGGATTCAGGTTCATAGCTCCGTCCTCCCTGGCCCCAAATGACCTTGCCTTGCCATTCCAATGTTTCTCACGTGTGTGTGTGTGCACTAGCCACAAACCCTTCCAAAAGCAGCAAAAAATGGCAGTCGTATCACTCGCAGGGCTCTTTTTGTAGCAGGAACTCCTTTGATTATGAGGCCACACACCCCTAATGTAGCCAATCCTCCAAGAGCTTACAGAGCTCTTCTTACAGGGGCTACTGTAAGCTCTTAGAGGATTGGCTACATTAGGGGTGTGTCACTTAATATGCAAATGAATACCTGCTACAGAAAGAGCCCTGCGTATCAGGTCACACAGCACAGCAGGTATCACCTCCCCCCTCCCCCTCCCGGAAGGTGATAGTCCATGGGCTGAAGACCAGGGATCTAGTGAAAGTGGGTTTGGGGTGAGGACTGGCGAGAGAGCCCTGTTCCTTCTAGCCACTAAACCTTCCCCCAGCTCAGTTGGCAAAACAGTGTCAGAAGTGATATTGAATTGCGTTGCCCCTGTGCAAGGGACTATGCTCTGTACTGTTCGGAAGAGACCTTCCAGTTTCGTCTCCAGCCCCACCGTCTATCCATGCGCCCTTCATGGAGGTAGGTCCACATATTGTCCCCTCAGGATCAAGTTGACTCAGCCAGTTTTGCGCAGTGGCTAAAAGCGGGAGACTCTAATCTGAAGAACTGGGTTCAGTTCCCAACTTCTCCACTTGAAGCCTGCTGGGTGACCTTGGGCTATTCACCGTTCTCTCACCCACAAAAAGAGCTAGCGTTTCAGGCTGCCAGACAATCTTCGGGTCTCCTGGCCATACTACCCCCAAGATAATCAATTTAATTAATCAATTTGGCTCAATTGCCCGTATCCTTTTTAGCGGTCCCCGTTATATTTTACTTTGTAACTAATATATTACTCCCTGGACTGATCGTCTACAGAATATTTCAGACCGACCGAAACGAAAGATATTATCTTATTATGTTATTAAAAAATGCACATGTGACAGCCATATTTATCTGTGGCGTTACAAAGCATTTGTAATATATTCCGACGTACGGCTTGTCAGCTATTAAGTTATAGGGGAAGGAGTTATATTGCCCATCGGTGTTTCAGCCTCTTTGTGTGAGGAGCAGTGTCGCGTATATATTAAAGAAGGGGAAATTTGAAAATCCGCTCAGGGAAGTAGCTGCTAGATAGATCACGGCAGGGCTTTTAAAATTATTATTAAGGAAAAAGAAGTGCCGGGAGTCCCAAGAGGGAAATGAAGTTTTCAATCTGTATACCGAAAACTCACGAACCTTTAAACATTCTAAAAAGAATTTTGTCGAAGAGGTTCCGGGACTCTGTTCCGGCGCGATCCCCCAGAAAAAAAGCCTTGGATCAGGGCATAATGCGGACTGAGCTGTAGAGCCTTTCTCTAACGTGCTTTCACCCCCGGCTCCTCTTCCTCTCTGACCCTCCCCTCCGTTCTTCAGGGCACGCTGGAGAAGTGCTGCGTGTGCAAGCAGACCATCACGGACCGGATGCTGCGAGCCACGGGCAGCTCTTACCACCCTCAGTGTTTCACCTGCGTGGTGTGCCGCAAACCCCTGGAAGGGGCGTCCTTCATCGTGGACAAAGCCAACCTGCCCCACTGTGTGGACGACTACCACAGGTATTTACTTTTCTGCCCCAGGGCTGTCCCCCGTTTTCCCCTTGAGCTCTTGCTCAGCCCGAAGGCTGCCGTCGAAGGCTGGACTCCTCTGAGCCTCCCCTTCTTTGCTTCCAGAAAATACGCCCCGCGCTGTTCGGTATGTGCCGACCCCATTATGCCAGAACCTGGGAAGGACGAGACTGTCCGAGTGGTGGCCCTGGAGAAGAACTTCCACATGAAATGCTACAAATGTGAGGTAAACGAAAATTCTGTCTTGTATTCGTTCTTCCCTTGACCTGGCTGGCCCAATCTTGGAAGCAGGGCCAGTTCTGGTTGGCATAGTGGTTAAGAGCGCAGACTCGTCTGGGAGAACCGGGCTTGATTCCCCACTCCCTCCACGTGCAGCTGCTGGTGTGACCTTGGGTCAGTCATAAGTTCTCTCAGAGCTGTTCTCTCAAGGGCAGTCCTTGAAAGAGCTCTCTCAGCCCCACCTACCTCACAGGCAATGCTCCCTCTAAGCTGTGGAGTCTTGTGAGCAAAAATTCTACTTTGTGAGCGACTGGCATTAAAGTTGTGAGCGAGCGATTTGGCATAAATTAGTTTGCTCTGGAGCCATCCCTTCCAGAGCGGAGACAAAAATGTGTGAGCCGGAGACTAATAACTGTGAGCTAGCTCACACGAACTCAGCTTAGAGGGAACACTGCTCACAGGGAGGGTGTCTGTTGTGTGGAGGGGAAGGGAAAGGAGATTGTAAGCTGCTCTGAGACTTCTTCGGGTAGTGAAGGGTGGGGTATAAATCCAATCTCCTACTTGGCTGGGAGACCCCCAAGAAAGCCCAGGGTTACTACATAGAGGCAGGCAATGAGAGCTATTAATTATAAAGAAAATATCTATAAAGTATTTCATCAGTAGTACTGGTCCTCAGATAGGGTAGCTAAGTGTAACCCATCAGTATCTAAAATTGTTGGAAATGCAAATCAAGCATGGGAACTTTTTTCCACATGTGGTGGCGTTGTGCAAGAGTCTATAGTTATTGGAAAATGGTGCAGAAGATAATATTAGAAATTATGAATATAAAGATGATTCTGTCTCCCGAAATAGCGTTATTAAATATGATTCTGGAGTGTTATAAGCAGAGTGATAGATATATGTTAATTTATATCTTTAACAACTGCCAGAATACTGTTAGCCAAATATTGGCAGCAAGTAAAACTTCCCACAAGAGAAGACATAACTTGTAAGTTATTAGAAATAGCGGAAATGGACAAATTAAGCTTAATGCTTCAAAAGAAAGATAACAGTATCTTCTTTGTAAGATGGGCGCGTTTGTATAAATGGATAGATAAGGTTTGGAAAATATAGACTCAACTGTATGTATATGGAATCTATGTAAGTTGATATATAATATGAAAACTGATAAATAAACTTTATAAAAACTGTGTGAGCTGGAGACTAATAACTGTGAGCTAGCTCACACGAACCCAGCTTAGAGGGAACACTGTTCACAGGGAGGGTGTCTGTTGTGCGGAGGGGAAGGGAAAGGAGATTGTAAGCCGCTCTGAGACTCCTTCGGGTAGTGAAGGGCGGGGTATAAATCCAATCTCCTACTTGGATGGGAGACCCCCCAAGAAAGTCCAGGGTCACTACATAGAGGCAGGCAGTGGCCCCTGTTTGTTGCGAAAAACCCGTTTGTTGTGAAAACCCTATAGGGTCACCATAAGGGGCTGCAACTTGACGGCATTTCCCACCACTGTGTCCCCATTTCGCCTTGATATTGTCAGCTTCATGGCGTTAACTGATTCTCCCTCTCCCTCTCTCTTCTTGTCCCTTCCAGGATTGTGGGAAACCTCTCTCCATCGAAGCGGATGACAACGGCTGCTTCCCCCTGGATGGCCATGTGCTGTGCAGGAAGTGCCACACCACACGTGTCAAAGCGGCAGCCTGAGGGCTTCGGAGCGTGCTGTGCCCTCAGGGTCCCCTCTTCTCTCCCCCCCCCACAGCCAGTGGGCCTGAGGTCCCTCTGCAACTCCCCCCCCCAGCCTTCTGTCCAAATCATTGTGCATTTCTTCCTAGATTCTGGCGATGGGTTGTATCCTGGTGGGTCTGTTCTACCAGCCGAGGGGCATTCCTCCGGCGGAAAGGGCCTTCTCGGATGTCTTGTGCTGGGGAAGGCTCCTTCCACTGAGGGGGGGGATGCCCTTCCGCTAGCAGAACGGATCCAACCGAACGTCTCTTCCTTCCCACTCAAGGGCTTCCCTGATCCCCCTCCCCTTTTTAAAAAAACAACAACAATAATCTTGCCCTTACAAGATGGTGTCTTCCTTAATCCCCCCCCCCACACACACACACACTTTGGCTGCAGTACGTTGTTCTCGATGCTGTGCAAAGTGACTTGGAGGCAGGTCTTTCTCTTAAGTCCTGCCGTCCTTCCGGAGTTAGTGAGTGACGAATGAATCCTGGAGAACCCAGTTGGCATCTTCCAAGCTGTCCCCCCCCCCCAGTCTGCGAGCCCCGTGACCCGGGGCTGTGCTTTCCCTCCTTCGTGGGGTCCCGTGTTCAGGTTCGGAATGCTCAACTGCACATTGACCTGTCGGTTTCATTTTCTCACGACCCCATCTGACTTTGTTCTGCAGGGCGGGCGGTGGGAAGCCGTCGGCCGGCTGGCCTGAACTTTTTCTTTCCGCCAGTGAGGAAAATGCTCTTGGGTCCAAGGATGACGGACCACTTCTCCCCACCTTCACCCCCCCTTTTCTGTTCCTCCCCATTTTTAAAAAACCCTTTGTGATGTTTCCGGCTTCGGCATAGTCTGCAATCCAAAGAGCTCATCTGTTTACACGGCGCTTGTAACAGCTCCGACTCGGGGCTGGGAGAGACGTCATCCTCCAGGGAGGGGCTTGTTTGCTCGCTGCCTCTGTGCCGGGATCGCAGCCGCCCTGGTCCACGTCCAACAGCCCCGCGGACTGTTCTTTGGTGCTCCCTCCGGCTGTCGATCGCCAAGCTGAACTCGAGTTCCCGGGCTGCGCAAAGACCTTGGAATATTGTACTGTCCCGGCAGCTCTCTGCATCCAATAAACTTTATGAGGTTTGGGGTTTTTTTCCCCCCGCATCGTAACTTTCAGCCTCTCTGTGGTGTGTCTGTGATCCCTGCCGTACTATTTGGCAGTCGTCTGCTCTTAAGGCTCCCCGGCACGTGCCTGGCTTCGTACCGCTCTGCACGCTGAAAGAGTCGGAGCATCGCAAAGCCCAGACGCCCTCCCACACAACCCGATCGGCGTTGGCCTCCAGCTAGAAACATCGCATTTGCTGAAAGGCAATAGCTTGTTTTTAAGTTGTCGTCCGTGTGCGTGTGTTTGCTTTCCCCCCTCCGCTGCTCGCATTCTTGGCAGCTGTCCTCTCTAGTGCTTCCTGTCTGAAAATGTTGCCGTGACCCCGGTTATTCTGAACAAAACAATGCTGTTGTGTGGGGCTTGGAATCCAGCTGGCTTAGCTCTGCCTCCCTTCATCGTTGCTGACAGTGGGTTTTGACATATTTTAGGATCTCCTCAAAGGCTGTTTTGGTGGTTGCCCTCTGCTGGAGTAGGACCATCCCCCCTGTGTTAAAGCAGATGAGGTGGGCTTTGAAGAAGCAGGTGGCACCAATCAAATGGCGACTCTTCCCAGAGGTTTACGTGCAGCGGCGGAAAACCGATCCTAAGTGAATGCCAATTGAACGGCAAGGGGGCTCCAAGGGTGGAGAAGAACGTCAGCAAAGGATTCGTGATCTTCTCCCTTTTTCTTAAATCGAAGAACGTTTTCAACTGGTGGTCTCTGCTAGCCTCTTTCAGCTCCCTAGGTCTGGGGTGTCAAACGTAAGGCCCCGGGGGCCAGAACCGGCCCATCCAGGGTTCTTACACGGCCCGCAAGCAACGGGTGTGTATGGAAATGTAAGGTACTCCCCCTTTTATGATATCCCTTGGGGGGGAAAACCTAGTCTTGCATATGATTAAATACATTTATTGGGGCTTTTGTGGGTTGCCCGGTAAATCAGTTGGTTTCACTGCTAGAAATCAATTGGTTTTGTTTGTATTTTGTGTAAAAAAAAATATTGTTAATTGGGTTTGCCGATGTCCTTTATAAAGTTTATATCTCTGGTCGCTGGCATTACATTTTGTGGCACACATGGCCCGGCCCAACAAAGTGACATTTATATCAGATCCGGCCCTCGTAACAAATGAGTTTGACACCTCTGCCCTAGGTGGCTTCTTGCACACTTGGTGGAGAAGCAGAGTCGGTGTTTGCACTAGATTGGGCCAGTGCAGCTTCCGGTGGTCCAGGTGGCCTCAATTCTCCCCCCCCCATTCCATCTGCTTGCGAAGAAAGGGTGGGGGAGTGGGTCTCCAGCTGAGCAGATGCTCTATTCTGTGGGGGCCTGCGCTGGGTGAAGCGCAGAGGCGCACTCTCTGCGTTGGGAGACTTCTTAAATTTTCTCTGTGTTTGGAGTAAGTAGGGCAATTGCATCCTCGCCCAACTTTCCACACGTGTTGCTGTGCAACTCGGGGAGGTCTTCCCTGTCCCATTTTTTTAGCATGTTGCATTCTGTTGCCGGTGTTCTTCTGGGGTTCAGTTTCCGTGAACCTCTTCTTCTGCTCAGTGAGCTGGTGGCGGGAAGGGCCTTTGAGTCACAGCTGACAGATGGTTTTCAAGGCAAGAGACGTTCAGAGGTGGTTCTGCCCTTGCCTGCCTCCGCGTCACGGCCCGGGTATTCCTTGGAGGTCTCCCATCCAAATACTTGCCGGGGCCGACCCTGCTTAGCTTCCGGGAGCTAATGAGATCACGCTAACCTGGGTGCTCAGTGAGCCGCCTTGTCCAATCGGGCAGCCAGCTTGGTGTAGTGGTTAAGAGCGGCAGGATCTAATCTGGAGAACCGGGTTTGATTCCCCACTCCTCCACACAAAGCCTGCTGGGTGACCTTGGGCCCGTCACAGTTCTCTCAGAACTTTGAAGCCCCGCCTTCCTCACAAGGTGCTTGTTGTGGGGAGAGGAAGGGAAGGGGATTGTAAGCCCCTTCGAGACTCCCTAGGGTAGAGAAAAGCAGGGTATAAAAACCAGCTCCTCCTCTTTGCCCTTTTCGGGGTCTCCATCTCGAGGTTTGTGCAATCCATTCCAGATGAGGCTCCTTTATGGGCCCTTCAGAATCTTAGGACCGCCCACATTCTTCAGTTGTAGCACTTTTATGTAGTATTGTCGGGCATCCGGTTTGTCTTTATTCCTCAGTTTGGCACAAGTGTGTAGGAAGCCTTTGATCAGCAGGAGTGGATGGTGACAGGTGGTTAACTTTGTGACAACCTCTGCTTTCATCTTAAAAAGGCTTGCGTTTTAACTCCCTGGGTGAAATCTCAGAGAGGGTAAGCCGAATAAGAGTTCCAGAGGTTTGCATTTGCGGCTCTCATTGCCTGTCAGGACCTGGGTGTGACAAGGAGGCCGAGTGAACCCGGCCCACTCCAGTGCTGCACCTCCTTCTGCCTATACTTGATGATATTGCCGAGAACTCTGGTCCGGAATCGAGGAGGGCAGCAAATATTTGTTTAGTTCTTCAAGTGTTTGCCCAGGCCAAGGGCAGTTTTGTTCTACGGTCCTTCTGATCTCGCCGCTTTGTCACGTACCCGCTTTTTAGAGTTGGGGGGAGAGCGTGGAGCTGGCTGGTCTGTATTGCACAGCTGTGCCCCAGCCAAGGTTGGGTGTGAGATAGCTGGGGTGTGTGTGTGATGCTCACCTCGCTCCCTGCGG